CAACGTATGGGCAGATGGTTTTCAGTGCTTTTCACAATTGTATATGATATGGTGCCTTTAAAATCAGACCCACATCTGTCAATACTTTTTAGGAGTGTTTCCCATTTTTTAGCATTAGGTCTGTGGTCAGTATCTTAGCTTGTGTTATAAATTTTGAGACTGAATTTTCAATAGCTCAGTAAAAAGGGATTGCACATTTCCAAGTTTTAAAACTGATTCTCAATTGGATTTGCACTTTGACTGGACCACTCTTTGAAACACTTGAAAAGGATTTGCTGTAAACTCTCGTGTCCCTGGTTTTATACTTAAGGTTTCTTACTGAAGGGTGAGCCTCTGATTTGGTTGCACGTTTTTTTTTTTGCAGCCTCTTATACATTTCTTCCAGGATTGTCTCGTGTTTGGCTCCATTCATCTTCCTGTGCAGCACACTCGGTCTATAACTCATACATATTTGGTGTAAGGAGAGACACACAAGTTCAAGTTTTCAAGGGCATAGTTTTCAGACAATGTCATCAGCATATCTACTGTCTGCCACAGACAAATAAAATATGTACATTTTATAATTAAGATGTGGCAGTGAGATATTTAACTGAATTCTAACCATTGTATAACATAAGAAGTACCCATAAATTATATTAATAAATTATGGCAAAAACTAACCATTACCTGCATACTGATATGCAAAGAATCCTATAGAACCTGTTTTTAAATGGATACAAGCCAACCAATAAATTATTGATTGATGTTGGGTAATTGTTATGTTAATGGGCGAAGGTAGTTTATCAGATACAGTATCACTAATTTCTTACTTTAAGACCTGTGAGTAGTCCAAGCGCCTTTTTTCTGTGCTTCCTCCTTCCCCCATATGCACACACAGTCTTGCTCTCTGTCTCTCTCCCCCCCTCTCTCTGTGTTGAGCACATCAGTATCTTGCCCAAGGACACATCCTCATGCACAGCGAGAAGTCAGAGATCAAACCACTGACCTTTTAATCAGTGGACCATCGCTCCGTCTCCTGGGACACACCCACCAAAGGCATGAATCCCGACTGTAACCTGAAATTGCAGGCTGTATTTTGAACCTTGAATGGTCGGAGAACATCCTCTCCGGTGCACTTGCAATCTGTTGTCTGGTTCAGCAGTTAAGCATATCTTAGGCAATGGCTGCTGCTGGTGGAGATATGATATAGTGGAGGATTCTGGCCCGTTGACTTTAGATCACATTGTAAAAGTGTGGCAAGGTGTACATTCTGCTCCTTCGACCTTATTTTATGGCTGTATGCTGATAATGCGTTACACTGAAGCTTGAGACATTTAGCTGGACAAAAGTACATAGTTTCATCACTTATAACTAGTAAATATTGCTGAAACAGGCACATTAGCATTAGAAAATCATTTCCAGAGCAATACAGGGGCTACATTTCCTTCTGGTGTTGAATAAATCTGCCTTTTCCCAATATTCCTGCTTTCTTTTAGCAGAAAGCATTTTCCTAGAGTAAGTTGTTTTTTTTATACATAATATATTTTTTACCCTGTCAGTCAAGTGAGCATATATTTGATTACAGCTCAGACAATCACCTTGCCTTGAGCCATTTGAAAGGTGTAATAGGCATCCAGTGATGTTAAACAAGGTTGACAGAAATCTCTTTGGGAAAAAGGGGAGGGTGAGTCGACCAGCCACATCATTCAGCGTGTTTTGTAATAGAACACTACAGTTCATACGCTCACAAAATAACAGGGCACAAAACTAATATTCTGTCCTGCTCATAAAATGAGAAAACAATTTGGGTTTCTTTATAAATGGAAAAAGATGGATAATTGCCAACACATTATTTGGGATGAAATTAAAATGCCACCACATTTCTTGTCAAAGTGAAGTCAGTCTTATGAAGTGCCACCTATACCTAAATGAATAATATTTGGTTCATTACTTCTTTGTTGTAATAATCTTGTATGTCTTTCAAAAGTCTGTTTATTTATTTTTATTATTTTGTAAGGAAAATACATTAGTAGGTTGGGCAGCACAGTTGAGTATGTGGGTTGCATCCATGAAAAAAAAAATCAAGTCTAACTGCAATCAGATTAAGAAAAAGAAAATTAAGATTTTAGTCTGCAAACTACAATTTTAATCATGTATTCAAATTATGTTTTGTTCCAGTGATTGAATAAAATAAGAACCAAGTACAGTCAATTGCAAGTAGTTGTTTGAAAGTGATTTGTCGTTCTTATTCAAAAATAATGAATGCCTAAAAATGTTGGTTGCCAGGTGTAGTTTGTGTGTCGCTGCTCTTGAGTGAGATCCAACAAGCCCAGTTTTCATATTATGTCGTTTTCTCCTGCTGATTTTCACCTGTTTTGAAATATGTTTGTTGAAATATCGAAAACTTCCTCTAGTCTCCGGTGGTCTATCCAGGATAAATTAAATCCAATTTTGTTTGCCCCTCAAAAATCTTTTTAAACACATTTAGTGAATATAGCATTCTTCTTTCATATACGATGTCACTTCACATACTAGAAAAATAAGTCAAATAATAATAGAAAATGTGAAAAGGCCTGAAAAACATATTGTAGTAATTGTAATGCTGAAAGTATTAATATATTGTTTTGTGTCGATGCAACAACTATACAACAAAGAAGATTTTGGATGATTACGTTTTATTTTAAAAAGTTGTGGACTGGTTTGATGCAAACCTACAAAGTTAGTGTGCATTCACACCAGCCCTGATTGGTCCACTTGAATCAAACTGTGGTTCTGTTGCCTACAAACTAGCTCATTTGGGGAGGTTTGAATGCATAATTGGACTCTAATGTGGACCAAAAAGCGACATCTGGTCCTGCCTAAAATCCTAGGTCTCACTCTGGTGTGGTACATATGTAAGCTTGGCACATATATATGTGAATGCCAAGTATGCAAGAGACTTCTGGAAAAGCAGGAAGCAGAATATAGTGCAGGGCTTTCTGGGTAAACAACCAAAACAAATGCAAGAATTTAGCGCTAGTAGGACAAATGGCTCATGGTGTTTTAAAAAAGAGACATTTTACACTGACAACACTCCATTTTCGCTTACATTTTGTGATGAAGGAAGTTGAGCTCAAGTCTTCCGCAGAGGTTTTCATGTTGTTTCCTTCAGTGATTCCTGGTGCAATGCCCCCACAGGGGTTGGGGTAAATGCATTTTGCAAAGGGTTTGTTTGACGGTGTGAAAGCAAATCACACCAGCTGAAAATGTAACAAATGTGACAATTTTGGTTTCCAATAAACCAAGCTGTAAAAACACTTTGGGTTGCACTATTTAGGGAGGTCAGAGAAAATGGCCTGAATACATATGCAAACTTTGCCACACAGATTTTCAGATTTTTTTTCCACAATCATGTGCTACTCTGTGTTAGTCTCTTCAATAAAATACATTACAAGTCAAAGCTGTGAAGGTGGAATTTAAAAACAAAGTAACAAAGACATCTGCCTCAACACAAGTTCAAGTCCGTCTATTTCACTCAAAGATTTCACAAGCAGCCTTTTGTTGATGGCCCCATTATCTGTGCAGCTGTAATGTTAAGCAGGGATGAATCACAGCTTCAAAAGCACAATGTTTAACCCTCATTTTCTTAAATTAAAGGCTTTTTCAATGCACAGCCCAGAATTGCCAGAATGACAGGAACAAAGTGTACCTTTAGTGTCCCGGGTGCAGCAGAGAGGGAGGAACATGTTGCTTTTTCTCTTTGCTCTTGCAACCAGTTCTGCTCTTTTTACTGCACAATATCAAATCATGTTTCTTTTTTTTTCTGATCTAGGTGGTATAGAAAAATGCATGGCTTCAATTTGATTTAAAAAATATATATTTAAGATGAATAAAAAGCTTCTCAAAATAATTTGACAATTTAATTTGACAATTCATATGGCCAGCGATGCAAATTAAGAAAGATATCACATATAATTTGATATTTCTTTTCAAAACTGTAAGATTTAAGAATATTGCCAACACAGGGAAGGGTCATAATTCTTGTTTTAGCTTTTGTGAAAGATGTTGGAGCTGAAAAATAGAATCGGTTAATATTTTTTCTCATTACGAGAAAAGACTAGAACGCCTTTTCCAACAATAAAGCCAGAAATTACAACCACATTTTGGTGCTGCTTCATATCAACTAATGGCACAGAAAGGCCAACAGTTCTAAGCTTCAGACCTAAAACTAAATGTGTATATACTGTCAGGGTGTGCAGACACAGGTTCCTGTATTTGAGTGAAACTAAAAAAAGGAATCAATCTAATATTTTGTTCTCGGTGAACCAGACAGACGGCAGGAGCACACAGAGAGCAGGTGCAGGTAAAACGTTCCCATACATCATACTATTATATTTCCCTTCCAACATGCATCACAGTTTGATGTATTTTTCCTTTCTGAATTAAGGTTTCTGAGACATCCCCAACCCCCCGAGCTAATAGATGAGGCTCAGGTTTTTATCTGGCCTAGATTATCTCCTCATGAGAAAATATGGTTGTTATCAGACTATTGTTTGCCTTGGACTGTTGCAGCCTCACTGGACAATAAAGTCTAAAGAACATCTTTTCTAAGAAATGGAGGAAGGAACACTTTAAACTTTTAAGAAGGTTTAAAATGTGAAATACAGAAAATGGAGGATCAGTTGGCAAATAAAAAGGATCAAATATGGATAATTCCTGCAAGTTGTTTCCTTAAAGGTAATTATCATCTATAAAATTCAGTTTTTTGCAAACAGCTGTGAGTTTACTGTGAATACAAAAATGTACTGTTTGAAAACAAAACATTGTAAAAAGCCAGAGCAACTTTCAGGAAACGGCATTCTCTCAACACAGCTATGGTGTACCTCCATATGAAAATTTGTTACAATTTACACGTGAAGTGCTTTAATCAGTAAAGCTGATTTTGTCTTTTCTTTCTTTTTTTTTTGTTTTTTTTTTGGAAGTGCTGAAACAGGCTTCTGTGATTTCTTAAGCGAATATTACAACATAATAGTCCTTGACTCTTTGGTGCCGTCAGACTGGGCCGACCAGGGGTGGACTGCTACTGTCAACATGAGAGCGGAGCAGCTGTTCTTCAACTTCAGTTCCTCATCAATGAGGTAAGCCTGAATCTGTGAGAATGTATTCAAAAATTTATGATTTTTAGTCATTTTTTCTTACAAACATATGATACAAGCCGTGAGTCCTATTTGTCTTATCCATAAACCTCAAGGTGTGTGTGGACAGTATTCATTTTGTTGGCACACAAACGTGAGCAGAATACTTCAGGTGGGTTTGGTGTGAAACCTTATTAGAGAGCCTGAAAAAAGCATAATTTAGAAAAATGCTTCATTTGAAAGGAAATGTTGGTAATATTCGTTGATGATTAATAGCAATCCCTTTCACCACTGAGTTTCTGTTTTGCACAGCACTAGCATGAGGTTTTTGTTTTTTTTACCATGCTGCATGAACAGATTCAAAATTTTGAATGTGACGCATCAGGTTCTTCAGTTGCCATTGAGTCTTTGGAGCCATAGTTTGACAGACGTATCTGGAATGTAAAATAAAAACGTCCTTGCTCTAAGCCAAGTTTATGCAGACGACATTTTAAGTGATAATTCATGAAACTGTTCTACAGATGAGCTGGTGTGGGATGATACATTCTACTGAGCTTGGTTTTGTTTTTGCAAAGCGCTGTTGCAATGTTATGAATGATGATGCGTTTTTCTTACAACTTATTTTCTTTTCTAGAAAAGGGCGTGGTGTACTAGCAGTAGATTCTTTAAATCCTTTAAGTTTAATATTTCTTGGTTGTCCATCAGGCCACCACCTAAAACTTGTTGTGCTCCCCAGGAAACACCTGAACCATTTTTGCTTTGTTATCCAACTAAAAGTGTTTAAACACCACATGCATCAGTAGACAGTCATCCTGCCGTCGGTTCATAGCTGTTCTTCCATTTGGACCACTTTTGATAAACTTTATCCACTGCAGACTGGGAACACCACTTAAACACTGATGTTATAGAACGACTCTGATTCGTTCTTCTTCCAATCACAGTTTTGTACTCAAGCGTATATCCACCCCAGCAGGAGCAGGAATAAAGAGATAAATAGTGTTACTCACTTGCCTTGTGGGTAGTCACATTGTTATGCCAGATCTGTGTACAATGAACTAGCCTTCAAAAGAATCATATTGACAAACATTTGCTCAAAAGCAGAACAATCTGCCGTAAGCTCGTTAAGGACAATTCTTGTCCAGTAGCAATCAGATTCTGGTTTGTACGTAAAATGTATCTCTATTTTTTTCTGCTTTTTCATTCTGCTGTAATCTTCACCCTTTCTTTATAGAGGGTATATTTTGCCTTCTCCTTCATCACTCACTGGCCTGCTTGTGATGCGTCTGTGGCCAATTGAGATGGATGGTAAAAGAAGAGAGAGTAGTTTGTGTGCTCTCTGACAGGTAGTGACTTTGGATGTGGGTGTGACATTGCGTGTGAAAATCTAAGCACTCAAGTCTGTGGAGAAGAGCAACGGAGCACGTCTTGTTGAAACAATGCACATTGACCAGCATTTTGGTCTCAGGTGGATTTAAGAAATGCTACCATATACACAAACTTTCCTTACCATGCTATGTTATACTGTTTCCTTCCACCCAACTTTCTGTTAGGATAGAGCACACTGTGACCTTTAGAAGCTCTCTCTCAATCCATGAAGTCAGCCGTTTGACACAAGATGGTGTAGGCCATCATAAATACACATACAGTATATATAAGCTGTATAGTTTTCTGGTTTTGCTGCTCATTATAATATTGCTGTAAGCATACATGCACCATCCATGTAGCTGCTCACCTTTCTTTTTGTTGCCATCACAATAATTACACACTGGCAGTCAGGTAGATTGTGCCCTGTCAGCTGCTCATGTTCTTGTTCTCCTGCCTGACATATTTTCTTTGAGATGGTTTTGCACCTTCTTCGAATCCATACACTCTTGTCTTCTTTGCATAATGTGGTTATGGCTCACAGGAACATTTCAAAGATTAATTCTGAATATACTGATTAAATGTATTGAGACCGGGAATCGCTGAGAATCAATATGTTGGCTAAACATCTAAAAAGGAGTGCATTGAAACTAGAACTCTTTTCCAAAAGTAATTTGGATCATTCCTAATGTCGAACCACATTGCAGGATGTTGATTTGACTGTATGCATTCAAAATTTTCCTAAGAAAAGTACACCTCAAGCAGACCCTCAGCTATGCGGATAATGCCACTCGAAAGACATTTTCTCTCTGAAAGTTTGCACATCCATTTGACAAATCCATTTTGCCGTAATTGGAAATGACTAATTCCTTCAATGCAGAACAGCTTTAATCCAACCCCAGGGGAGCAATTACATGAGATGCAGAAAAGAAAATGAGTCGCTTTGAATGGAAAGCTGTTGGTAAGGTAAAGTTATACAAACAAGTTAATTTTCTGAACTTGCTAGCATCCAAATCATTCTGTATATAGAAAAAGGGGAAGGCTATTTTCTATAACCGTAGTTGTATTTCACAAAAATCTTTGAAAGAACTATGAACACCAGGAAAAACAAAGTAAACAGTCAGGAGGGAAAGACGTTCAGTACTGTAGTAGTACTTGTATTTTTGGTGGATAGGTGTAAGTAAATAATCTTCTTAAAAACAATTTTAACAAGTTATTGTTAAACTTCTTTTCTGCTTCCCATACAATAATGGATTTGGAGAATCAGTGGGATATGTCACCAATGTGGAAATCAGTTGGAAGCAGTCCATGCAACATTACAGTCCTTAATCCTGTGATTAGGTTTGTAATCTAAAGCTAATTCTCCCTGGGCTCCAGTCTTTACGGCGATGCTCTGCAGGCACAGCCTCAGTGGGAATTCAACTGTAATCTCAATTTTCTTCAGATGTTGGGCTGACACCAGTGTTTTCTCCAGTATGATGTGTCATTTCACTTCTTTGCTTAGTGCAGATCCTGTAAATATTTGCTGGCCTAATTGCATTTTTCTTTTTTTTTACTCTTGAATGCAGTGGAGTCAAACAAATCCATGCCTGCTCCCAAAGGGAAATTTTATTGTAATTGCAAATATAATATACATGATTAGAAGAAACAGGACAAGGAAACTGGATTGTGCATTTCCTCTGTAGAATTAAAAAGGAAATTAATGCAGAGTGGTATTACCTCCAACGTTCTTGATGTAGCAGAGCTGAAGGATGTGGCAGGTATTGCGGTCCATTATGCTAAGCAGCTTGGACACCACTCTTATTTATATAACCAGAACTACAGGTTGTGGGGGAGTACCAATGACAAAGCAAGCTGTTTTTGTCTGTTTGTTCTGTTTCTTTGAGCAACGATGCAGACCCAAAAGATTAGGGGTAAAAAATAAAAATAAAAATAAAAATCTCTCTACCGGGGACTGATAAGAGATGAGTTATAAAAAATAAAATAAAATAAAAGAAGACTCTGCTCTTTGCCTTCATGCTTCATATCTTGGCGATAACGTTTTCTTTTAAGATCAAATATGTGTTCTGATTCTTTTCATTCCCTCTAAAATGTGACTGACTGCAAAGTCATTTGAGTATTTCTGTAGCTGAAAGAACTCAAAGTTGTGCTGGATATCTTATTTCTGTGGTCTGAGGAGAAACTGTTGCATATACGGTGCTGCTGTTTTCTCATTTGCACAACTGTTGGACACCACAAACTGTGATCTGTCAGAAAAACAATAATCTAGATGTTCTGGAGATACTAGCTGCATTATTTGGATCTTTTCTCATTGCAGGTTATATATATTATCTTAAAAAACACTAGAGTCACTGATCTTTAAATGTGCTGCACATTTCCTTAGTGTTACTTTTAGCATCCTGTAGCAGTCTTTTTTTGTTTGTTTGTTTTGAAAGGTGAGTGTGAATGAATTAACTATCATATAAAGCTAAACACCAACAACCTAAACATGAGCTCTTGAAGCACAGTTTCTTTGTTTCATGTGAAAAATTCCAAAAGGAAAATTCTGGGGAACGTTTTTGCAAAACGAAATTGTAAACTGAAGAGGACAACAATGAGCTAGTAACAGTTTCCGCTGGGTGTCATGCCATGCTCCATTATAGGGTTGGAGCTTGGAGCTGTGAATGACATCCAAAAAAAAAATGTTAAAATCTGTTCCAGTTCCAGGTTTAAAGGCTGTCAGGATTTTCTGATATGATGTTTACTACCTGAGAAGAGAGCAGCACTAAGTGATGATTTACTGTGATGCAAATCTAAATTAAAGGGGAATCTGGTTGTTTTTTTTTTTACATTGTGGTAACCACTAGTTTTTTATTGCTTTGTAGCTTTATTACATTTTGAGATCACAATCTTAGTGAATCACTAGTGTTTATGCAAAATTATCTTTTTGCATGTTTTTGCATTTCCATCTGATCTCTAATGCTTCTAGAAACAGTCCAAATGCTAAACATAAGGTATGCACCATCATAGTATCTATGGAGTCACAAACACTCATGTTGGCTACCTCTGCCAGCTATCAATCTGTCTCATCAGTTTTCTTTAGGTGGTCAGCGGAGCAAAGTTCAAACAGGGACCCTCAAATCCAGGGCTTGAGGTCCGGTTTTCTGCAGCTTTTAGATGTGCCCCTGGTTCAGCTTTCTTAAATCAAATGGCTTAATTAGCTCCTCAGTATGCAGTCAAGTTCTCCAGAGTCCTGCTAATGACCTCATTATAGGACTCAGGTTTGTTGAAGCTGAGACCCATCTAGAAGTTGTAAGACCCCTGGATTCTAGATTCCTGTTCTTTTACAGGTTTTGGAGTTGTTTAGAAGTAACCCCAAGAGACCGACAATCAGATACCAACTCAAGGTTACATAGATACTCAACCTGGGTTGGAGCAATCAAATGGATACATATTTAACAATAGTGAACGTTTTAGATGGCTGGTAGTTACTGACACAGCATTGCATCCCATAAATACCAACATTTCCAGCTTTAGCTTAAATCTTTAAACTGGGCTAAACATCATGTCCATCTGACATCCTTTCACCTTGAGGATTTCTTCACTTTTCCACTTATATCAAAGTAGCATTGTGTCTACTACAATTATTGGAATTATTACTCATAATGACTAACAGAACCTCACTTCAAGCAAACCAAATTCTTTCATAAGTCAAATTTCTTTTCTGCTAAAATGTCTTCTCTTTTTCTTTCAGGGGGCGCTGGTCACAGCCTGTGCAGACGACACACTACACCTGTGGAATCTGCGCCAGAGACGACCGGCAGTCTTGCATTCACTCAAATTCAACAGAGAGAGGTACGCAGAAATTCAGCTTGATTGACAGACACCTGATCTGCACACACAGATACCAACACTGAGTGAACACACACGCCACACCTTACACTTTGTGAAAAAGGAACGTACCTGTCTGAGTAATTCAGTCCAGTGGCCAAAGACTTCTTCTGATCTGACTCCCATTACACAGCTGACCTGTCCGTACCCATCATGCTGTACCAGAAGATTATTCTACCAGTCTTGCTGCTGTGGCCAAATGAATGATTTTAGGTTTGACTCTGAGAGATATGGCCCATACAGGCATGGTAGTGACAAAACCCCAGAGTTGTTTTTGCATTTTAACCCTGGAACCACATGAAACCATTTTTACCTGAGTGCTGCACACTGCCTTCATGTAGGAGAGATTGTAGAGCAAAAACCAAACAAAAAAATATATATTGGTAATGGCAGCCTGGTCATTCTGTGCATGGTGGTGCATGACTTCAATTTGATTTATTATTAAGGGTCAAATGTGCAACTTTGTAAACGTGGTGGTTCTGCCAGGGATTTTTTTTCGCTGTGTGATAGAACTGAGTGGCTTTCTCCTCCTACAGAGGAGCAAAGTTTTGCCCTAAAGTTCCTGTAAGAGTTTATTTCAGATGCTGTTATGCCTGATATCTCTGCAGGGTCATGAGGGTAATAGAGAGAGGATGTTGCTGCTGTGTTACTTTTACCCAAGATATAAGGTTACACATGTAATGCTAAAATACAAAACCATTGCAGAATCCTTACAGATTAGTCAAAACGATCAAAACCTTTTTATGATTTAAATTTAAAGAAGGCATACAAGTAAAGCTTTTACTGTGACCTACTTTGTTTGTCTTTAAATAACTTTGGTTTTTCTTCATCTGAGATGAAGTTTCTAAAACCTGCTCACCTTGCATCTAAAGCAAACGTGTCTTTCAAGATTTAAATGTCAAACCTCCTCTCACCTTCTGAATATGAAGTATCCTCTCATGTGAAAGTCAATATGCACGGGATTTAATCCCTGATTTTTTTTTTTATGAGTCAGTCAATTTATAGCAGCTTAATGTGAGCACTCTCCGCCTTCACCTTACGGTAGCAGCCTGGTCTCTGTTCCCACTGTTAAACATTAACTCAATTCTCTTTTCATAATCTTTTATCATCCAAGGTTTTCATCTACAAACATAAAATTAACCCACTTGAAACTACAAAACATCCAACAGCCTCCAATTATCAAGCTGTTCTCATTGTTTTGTGTAAGCGTTTTACGGTCTCCTAAATATCATAATAGGACGGCACAATAAAAATAAAAACTGTTCAGCCTGTCGTTTAGTCCATGGAGGGTCTGGTTTAGGTCTTCTTGGGTGAATATCAACTCTGATCCTAAAGGCCACACTATCCTGGGTGTCAAATTGACATTGACCAATTTGTGATGGTCCATAATTTTATTTGATAATTCTTTACTCAAAAATTTGGTAGAAGTTTATATAAATTAGATTTATTGGAAAGAAAAGTGTGGAATTGGTGGCAATGCTTTGCAGGGAAGCTGAGGTGAAAAACAGAATTAATTGGTAACTTTATGCTACAGCCTTCACAACCAGTAAAACCACAAGGAGCTTAAAAGTAAAAGTAAAGACTTAGAAGGAGAAGGATAACGGGGAAGAAAATGTGTAGATGGTGAGGAAACGGCTTTGGACGTACCGACACCGGAGCATTGTTGGAGGATGACCGGTGAAGCAGCAAAAAGATTACAGGGTAGTCTTGATCTGGTGAAAGAGGAACCGATGAAATGGGTTATGAAACATGTTTACTTAACCAAGCTAAAAAAGCAACTCAGTTATGCAGGAAAATGTTGGTGATAACATTCTGGGATAGTGCAGCTTTTATGCACTAATGTTGTTGTTTTTTTCTGACTTTTTTCAGTTCCAGAGACCTTTTGATGTCTTTGAAATGCTGCTGTATGTCCTTGTGTCAGAGGAAAGGACATTTAATGAAAATGGTGCTGAATTTGTCGAACAGTGGATGCAATTTTTTTTTCAACAGAGTGCAGGGTCACAAAGTCACTGTGGGTGTTGAATTTCTTTCAGCAAAGAAATCTGCTCTCAAAATCCAATAACTCTTAACAGCAGTTTGCTGATTATTGGAATTATTTTAAAATAGGTGACCTTTAGAAAGATGTGCTGCAAAAATTTTTTAGCATTGAGCAAAGAAAATGAATGGCCAACATATTCAGTGTTTTTTTCCCCGTGTTTTTTGTACTTATTTGTGACTTTTTTTATTTTTATTTTACCAAATTCCCAACCTGGACACACAACAGAATATGTTATATGTCAACAGAGAACAAAATATGAAACTTTTTCATTCTGAAGGTCAACCAACTTTCTTATTGAGTAGTTCTCTCCTGGATAGACACATCCATTTTCAGTTCATGACGCCACTTTCATGATGCTCTTGAAGACTGTGACTGTGTTGAGAGTCAAAGTCATCACTGACTCTGCCAACAGTGCTTACAGGGGTGCAATGGTTCATGTTTTCATACCTAACTGTCATGGTACATAAATTACCCAAGCATATCTGAATTTTCTATCTTTGATAGATTGTCTAAATCTATCTTCATACCTTCATACCTTATTATGAAGGTAGAGAAATAACATTTCTAAAGTTCTCAACAATAACAGCGATGCAAAAATAACTCATAATGATGACATGCATTATGAGTTATTTTTGTGATTAGCAGTCCACAAACTTTTTCTGGCACTACATCATAATATGTGGAAGTATGGCAAGCCATTGCATCATATATTTTTTTTCAATTTCCAATGCTGAATAGGTAGCATATCTCTGTTATTAGATCATAAGGCAAAACCTATAATTTGGTCTATGCTTTTTTTTCTGTTCTACAAAAACATCACATTAAAATTGAGGTAATCAATATTTGTGTGTACTATGACACCTCTATTTGAAAGGTAACCGGGGCATGGCTTTTTAGGAAGTACAGTACAAGGAAGCTGGTCAGAGTTGATGGGAAGATGACTTGAGCCAAATAATCAGCAATCCTTCAGGAAAACATGCTATTGGCTGCAAAAATTTGAAACTTGGTCAGAGAATAACCTTCCATGAAGATAATGGCAAGTCCAGATTAAAAGATGAATGGCGAGGATCTGCTTTAATTTGTGAAAAACAATTTAGGGATCATCACTGTGGATATGCAATTCATATAAGCTACCTTCTCTAATACAGTGGTAAATATTTTCTGAAGTGATTTCCATCAAATCAGATGTCTTTGACCTGGCTCTGGTGCAAAATGGTAGGAGGCAGAGCCACTTGCTCACAGCGGAGGTGCACTGAATCACCATCTAAGACAAAAGAAGGGAAAAGGCATCATGAGTCACCCACTAGAGGCAGAGCAGCGCCTTTCCAGTTAGCTCTGTGTCTCTGGGCTGAACCTCTGACAATTAGCACCCTAACACCCTACTGGGACCCAAAACAATAATGTCTGAAGAATTGTTTTGTGACAACTGTCTGCCAGCAGCTTGTGCCTGGCAATCTCCAGTGACTGGCATGCTGCTGTCAAAAAAAAAAAAGAAAACGCAACTGAGCACAATCCACACAAAATTGACTTTTGCAGTACATGACACACAGGACAGTTTCTATTGTGTTCCTCTCAGCAAAAATGAGCTGTTTTAGCTGATGTAGTCATCATCATGGCACATGTCTGTTGGTTAATGATACAGTAAGTCTTTGTGGGATTCCTTTAGCAGTTGTCACAAGTCACGCAGAGCAGATGGCAAGGTTGCCAATTCCCTGGGTGATGCAACCAAACCACTTAATCTCTACATCTGTTTACTCCATTAAGGGTATTTGCTTCTCAACTGGTCTCACAGAGCCTAGTCAAAAGGCAGCTGTCTTCTTTGGTTGTTATTAACCCAGTTGTGGTACCTTGTTCCTCTACTTTGTGTATTTTACTAGCACAAGTGAGTGGCTTGATATTTTGGATTATTATCTTACTGAAAGTTTCAGTGATGACCCATTTTCAGTTTTCTTCAAGATAACACCATTTTTTTTTTAACTTAAAATCTATTCTAACAAAATGTCCAAGTTTGGAAGAGACACATCATCACATCTCTCCCACAGTACTTTACAATGACCAACTGCCACTTTTTCACATGTACCTTGAGTGTGTGTTAATGAAACCTTCAGCCTTTAGTGTGTTTTCTGATATACCAGCGTATTAGAAAAACAGATCATTATGTAATACTAAATATATGAAAAATTCAGGTTTGATTTCTCAGAAATTGTGTGTATATGTCTATGCTAGTACAATAAAACATTTTGGAGGTGTTACACAGTGAGGACAACATTGTAGGAGAGTTAATGATCTATGTGGTTAACTATAGGATGTAGTGAACAGAGCCAACAAGGCCTCACCTGAACCCACAGCCAAGGTGAGAACCATAGAAATGTTATTAACATTAATATTGTTCCCATTCCAAGGTAAATTAGAAACGGTAAAGTTTAAAAGTCTTGATTCTTTTGGAAGTGTCCCCTCTGGCTTGTTTTTATGTAACAGGATTACTCAAAATAATTCAAGAACACCATGAAAAATCTTTTTAAAGTAAGTAAGAAATTTGTATTTTCTAGAAGGCATAAGATTGTCTAATCCTCTGTTTTGTAAAAGGAAATTCTGCCCCCCCCCCCCCCTGCCAGTTCTGATATTGTCATCACCTTAAGCTCCTAAAATCCTTATTGAATTGTCTGCCATCTCATTTGTCTTTTATCAAATAATCCGACTGCTCACAGGGTGAGTGGATGTTGGGCTGAAGCCCAATGAGCATCCCTCCCACCCCCTTTCTGCTTCCACACGCACGTACATACACACACACACACACACACTCCACCCCTAGGCTTCTGTAAAGTAATCAGCATAGACATGTATAACGGTCTGCTGATCTTTTTTTTATATGGGGAAGATGATACAACTCATTGGCAGAATAACTGTTTTATCAACTCTGTTTAATAAACATAGTAATCAAAAACATAAGCAACAAAGGCCTGTGTCTGACTTTATATGATCCCAATAGAATGTATATGGAAGTCATGATGCAAAACCCATTACTGCAGGTTTCCAAATCATCATAGACCACTGGGATCCATTATAACTGACTGAGGGCAATTGTCAAAGTAAACATGGGGAGGAAAGTTCTGGCCTTTGCAAAATCCTATATTTCCAAACTCCATCCTCATGGTGAAACATGTTGACGGCATCATGCTGTTGGAATATCGATGCTTCTTTTTAATGGGGACAGGTAAGCTGGTGAGAGCCAGAGGGAAGATATATGAAAGAAGAAAGATAACCTGTTGGAGGCTGTGAAATACTTAAACCCGGGTGACGGTTCACACTTACTTCACCTATGGAGCCACAGCTACATTAGTGATTGTTATAAGAGCTAAACCCATTGAAATGGTCAAATATTTGTGAAGTCTATTTCTTTTTAAATCTAAAACTAAACTCTTTGAGAAAATTACTTGTGGAGCAGTTGGTGTCTCTGAAATGAAGAGTAACATACAATTTTAACAAATGCATGTAGAGAGGTGCATGTAAAATATAAATGTTGAAAGACTGTACTGCTTTTATGGCATAAGACGTCCTCAGTAGGAGTGACAACATATAGAGGAGGAAAAGCAGCGTCTGGCAATGAAACTTGTATTCTAAATAAAACCTTGATACAGAATGACTCATGGTTTGGCTTGTGGAAATGAGTCATCGTAAGATGTGTTTGAATGATATAGGTAAAGTTAAGTTTAACTTTTTTTAATTCAGTAGTTGTTTCTTTGATTAAATAGACCTAGAGGTTTGGCAACTTTTTTTGGTTTGTTTGTTTTGTTCCTTTGTTCAAGCTTGTAGCTTTGACCTCCAGAATTGTGCATCCTTGACTGAAATCAGGAAATTTGAGGGGGGGAAAAAAAGCATGGAAGACAAAAACTGCCAGCACAAGGTCACTGAAAAGGCAGGTGAAAGATACCATTTAATGATGTCCAGCTGGAAATGTCAAACTCTGGCATCAGTGTAGCATACACCAGGACTAAAGTAGTGAATTGAGAAGTCTCCAGCTCAAGTCTGAGTTCGTTTAGTGCAGATCAGCTAACATGTTGTACAGACAAAAGACACTTGTACTGCATTTGTACTTTCACAGAATTCAGCAACAGTTCCTTCCCAGATGGTCTTTGTAGAAAATGTGCTCAATCACTTCTTTTGTTTTTAATCCAACAAAAAACTAAACAGATTTTTAATTGCATGGTTTTTTTTAATGGTTTTTAAAAAATGTTTCATCTACTTTGAAAATAATGAAAGTGATAATAATTTACCTTTAAAGGCTGATTTGTTCCATTTAGTTTATATTTGAAAGGAAATGAGTTAAACTTGCTTTTTTGTGGGTTCTTATAGATGTAATTACAATAAAGACCAACAAAACTGGACCAGTAAAAACTACTGTCAGTCATGTTATTGACTTACAGACTTTTACCCTTCTGTCTGATTTTCTGACCCTTGGTCAATGTCCCACCCTTTGTTCCCCAGGATCACCTTTTGCCACCTGCCCTTTCAGAGTAAATGGCTGTACGTGGGGACGGAGCGTGGAAACACACACATCGTCAACATTGAGTCTTTTATTTTGTCTGGATATGTCATCATGTGGAACAAGGCCATAGAACTGTAAGTATCAAGCGTTTCAAACACCACCGTTAACAGTGATAACATTGTTATTATGGTGTCAGCAGAGATTTTTTAATTGTTAGGATAATGATACATGTGGAGCTGCAGACAGTAATTGTTAAGGTGGTTTGTTGGTTGCTAAGTATTGATTGTAAATGACAATATTTTTGCTTTTGGCTTAAAAAAAAAACAGGCAGCCATTCAGAACCTTTAAATTTAGCTAAATTGCTGTTGAGCATCTTGTGACATAAAATTACTTTTTAAAATTAGGAGCTGTTACTGGTGACTGCATACTGGGCAGATAAGTGACCACACAGAGTTATGAAAATAATAATTAAAAATGGCAGTTATAATATTAACCTCTTTCTCTAACTCATCTCACTTTACATATCTCATACACCCACAGAATAAGTACACCATGAATATACAAACCAGCCTAAAGTGCACTCATTATTAAGTACATTTTTCTTAAACTAATATTTAATAATCTTGTGAGTCATCGTTACTTAAAATGCAAGGGTTTACTCATCTGACAATTACTTTTGTTTGTGTACGGCTGGCTGTGCAGACTGGCAGCCTACATGCAGTAAGCTGCAGATTGACAACTAAAAGCACAAGAAAACAACTGGCGCTCAGTTGCATTGTACGCCCATTTTTTTCTTGGCTTCACCCACCTATGTGCCACTCTTCTGGTGTTACCCTGACAAGTCACCCTGCCGCAGTGTCAGTCATAAGTCTTTTTACAAACCATGTTGTATGTCAGCCCAAACTAAAGTGAGCAGTTTTAACACTGATGTGTTTGTGTGGGAGGCCTGACTGCCAATCAGTTTGCAGGGCTGGAGTGTTAGACGCCGAGTGTTGTTAATCTGTTCTTTTGTACATCTGGAAGAAACAAAGCAAAAATAATTTCTTTTCAAACAGTTCAAGTTTGTGGTTGGATGACTGACCCCATCAGGATTTTCTGTCCCTGGCCATAATTAAGTCGAGTCAAGTTTATTTGTATAGTACAAAACATTTTATTTTTAATTCAGATATATGTATTAAGAAACATTGAACCATTATCTTTCTGCTTTATGATTATGCACAACTTTGCATTATAAAAAAAAAAAATCAGTTAAAAAAAATATGTTTATGGTTGTAATATGACATGTGAAAAAGTTCAAGGTGTGCAATTACTTATTTTGCAAGACTCTGTATTGCACCAAAAGAAAAAAGAAAAAAACTTTAAACCACCAGCTATCAAAATAAGGCGTTGTTCAACTGTGGGGATGCAAACATATTTAACGATTATGGACACATTATAAATAAATAAAAACCCAAAGACAGTTTTTAAAGAACAACAGATTTGACAATGTCACTAGTTTGTTTATTGTTCCTCATGAGGCAGCAGGGCATTCATCCACCTCAGTGGAGAATCATTTTCTCTTTATTAAACATAAACTAATCTATTCTATATTTTACATTTCCCAGCACTTTCTAAGCTAGAGTTCATGAGAAGTATAACCAGAAGATAATCATTCTTCTCCTATCAGTATACAGAGGGACTTGGGAAATTCATTGTTTGTAATGGAACGCTTTCCACAAAACATGAATAAGGATGAGCCAGGGCTTTGTTTTTTTTCAACTGTGGATCATTTAGTGAGCAGGAGAGAAATTGTTCAGACTTTTTCAAATAAGTGTGAGTAACATGTACATGTTACTCACACTTTTGTGTGTTGTCTGTGCGCTCGGAGTGTTTGTTTGTGTAACACCCGTTCACAGATGGATTAATTTAATTCAAACTGAAGTGTGCACTCTTGAAAAGAGTCTGTTATAGCAACAATCCAACAGGGACTGCGGCGCCAAAATGGGAGGACCTGGCTCTCATTGAAATTCAAATAGCTTTGCAACATATTTAATGCCCAATTTCATCTCCAGGAAATTCGTTCCAAAATGAGATGTAAAAAATGAGATGCAGGGAGGAATGGGAGAACACAGCAGCCCACTCGGCTACATGTTATAGATCCTAATAATAAGTGGAATTGTGTTTACGCCTTGCATTGTGTAATCAACACTGGCATGTCTAGCTTTGTGCTGCAAGGATAGTGAAAACAAACGATAGGCTTTCAGCAACTTCCTGATGCTGTAATAAAGAGAAAGAAAGTGGTCATGCCACATAAAATATAATTCATGTCAGGTTGAGGGTGTAGAAAGATTACTGTCTTGACTGGGTTTTTAAAGATAAAGCGTCAAATCATGCACTTTGCAAAGGTCTAAGTACATTTCTTTTTGCATCAATTCTTATGAAAAAGTATGATGTCTGTCATTTTTTTCTGTGATGTTTTGAGTTGAGTTTAATGGTTATTATTCTACCACGACTTCCTGCACAGTGACTGTCTAGCGCTATTCTTTTTACAAAATCCCTCTCAATCTAAATAAATCAAAACATCTATAACCATAAACAGTGTTTTCCTCTAAAATAAATGATCTATTTTCAGCCATTTCATCTAAATCTGAATGCTTTAGATATACGTCACATGCTGGGCAACCTGAAGCGAAGCCTTCTCACATGGGATATAAAATAAATGTATGTCGTTGTGTGAATGTATTGTGTTCTTGACATGTTTGCTGCTGACTATTTCCTGCCCCATCTAGCTCCCTTTCAGCTGTCATTTTGATTATTTACCCTCATCTAACCATGATTGGTTGCCATGGTTCCGCCGGACCTGGTGGAGATAAACATGTCCTTGCATGACATTTGTTTGAAAATAATTGAATACTTACAATATCTATTTAAATCCACTCCTTTCCTCTCACTTTCCAGCATGTGCTGGGGCATGCTTTATTTCCATTTTTTGATTCCCAAGGCCACAAAATGCTGCATTGTTTAACAGTTGCTGGTTTCTTTGGCAACACCGTTTCTCGACAGACACTGGGACACCAGCAGCGTTCTTAAAAGCTTTTAGGAGGACTGATATGGTAATCTGTTCATTAGACAAATCCATCTGGACAAATTTAGTTCTTACACAATACATTGCCAGAAATTAAATCAAAATTTTAAATTTTTATGTTAATTTATTCTATTTAAGGCTTCTGGCTATGCAGTACGACGAGTCAGAAGGCTGGCTGGTTAAACAAGGTGTCAAAAAGTATAAACGGACATTTCTGTGGTTAAGAATCAGTCAGTAAGTCAGTCAGTAAATTAATTTAAATTTATTTGAAGAGAACATTTTATTCAAATGAGTGTAAGACATGAGTTTTGTATGTATTATAAAGATACTGACATCCTATTCACACACATGGAATCACCAAATTAAGCACATTTGAAACAAAAATCAAAAAAGTAAAATACTAGACAAGTTGTGACAATAAAATGAAACATGGAAATGTGAAAACAAAAACATTAAAAAGACCAAACTAAATGTAAAATAACCATTACAAAATAGATCATAATATTTAACTTGTAAAGGCTGATAAATAATAAGTTATTTATCAGCTAAAAAATTTATTATTTATTATGCTATTAATTGAGCATATAAGGCTCAATTAAAAACGTAACTAATATATGTTAAAGTTCATCTATAATACAGTAGCTTCATTAGCTGGTTGTTTCATGTTTTTTTATATATCTTTAACTAGGGGATTTTAGAGATTATTTTTAATTGGGTACATGGAGGAATTATTGTGGCCTTAGATCCTCTCCACTTCTGAAAACAAATAACATAACAAAACAATTACAAATTAATGTTGGAGCTTAGCAATACTGTCTCATGCTGAAATTAAATGAGTGTTGACAACCAAAGCCACTATGTAACATTTAATTGTTTTCATTAATTTATGTGATAAACTTTAGCTGGGAAAAAAAGGAAAATCACTCCTGTGTATGTTGAGGTACCATCACATCATGGCCTTCAGTTTATGTTATGATTTTTCATACAATAAACCGCTACTCTTTTCCTACGCTTTGAACCATGCGGCTTATAGCCCGGTGCGGCTTTTCTGTGATTTTTTTTCTTCAACCGCCAGGGGGCGCATGAGCAGGAAGTGAATCATTGGAAGTCAACATTGGAAATCAAAGAAGAGAGTGCTGATTTTCATTTAGAACAAGCACATGCTAGGATCGGGCACAACGATGTTTTCAAACTCATACCCCCCTCATCATGGGAACAACACGAAGAAGTTCATATGATGCCGCTTTTAAGTTGAAGGCTATCGATCTGGCAGTACAGGAGGGGAAATAGAGCCACTGCATGTAAGTTTGGCGTGAACGAACCCATGGTTCGGCGTTGGCAATGCAAGGCTGCATCCTTAATAGCAGATTTATTAAGGACGCAGCCCTCCGCTTTGCAGCCCTCTGCTGCATCCTTGTGGAAAACCGAGAGCAGCGGAGATACCAGCGGCTTATAGCCCAGTGCGGCTTTAGATATGTAGTTTAAACTTTGTGGGTGTAGCTTATAGTGAGGTGCGCTCTATAGTCTGGAAAATACGGTACCCCTCCCATTGTCAAGGCACTCCACAGGGTGCCGTCAGATGAGATAATTCCTGTAATAAGCAGCAATAGTTGGTTGCAGGGCCCAATTATATATTAAGTAGTGACAAAGTGTTATACATATAAAAATATATTAATTTAAGAAATAAAAAAGGAAAATTTTAAGAAAAAGGGTGAAAAATTAAAAAAGTGAAATGAAAGGAGGACACTCGCAGAACTAAAAACCTGTAAAACGAATGCTTGTTGTTACTCTGAAATCATAAATTGTGACTTCTAAATCAGAATCGCCAACCTGAACAACTCCTGAAGTCTGAGGTTTGGTTTGGACAGTTAGCAGACCTTGAACTGCCTAAGTTATGTAGGTAAGATGAAGAAAAGCACTTGTTCACTTATTCTTCAAATGGCCCCAATGCCAGCAAACTCTGCAAGTGAGCAGAGAGATTACCTTTTACAAAGATGTTTGTTTTGTTCCTGTATGACAGACACTTGCTGAGCTAGCAAACTGAAGAGTAGCGAACATATCTGTTATAAAGCATTTCTACTGTCTCAGTGTCCTCTTATCAGATGAAGTGGGCCAGTATGCTTTGACTTAAAAGTGTTTTTCAAAGTAAGTTATTTGCTTGTATCACTTACAGTAATTAGCCTGAATGCTGACCACAACAATTAGCAAATCCCATTGGTTTTCTCACGTACAGCTGCACCATGGCTGAGGCAGAAGTGACAGTCTGAATGCACTAAGGGAGATGAACAGGGGCAAGTGTGATGGATACTAAATGGAAGCAGGTGTGGGGGTAAAAATGCAGAACAATGGAAACAAAGTCAGTAACATAGCAAACAAAGTTAAAACACCAAAGGAACTAAGCACAAACTATGAGGACTATTTCAGGTCCTCCAGATTGAGAAGATTCCCCTTAAATGTCTACATTTAAAACTCCATGATCACATCAGGATTCACACACACCTACATGATTAAAGACTCTTGTCTGTTAGAGCCAAATCAACATGTTTTTAAAGAAATTCTCAACCTTTTAGCCTGTTGTTTATCCTCTTCATAGTTGTATTCAGCAAGCATTTTTTCTTAAATCTAATCTTTTTTTTTTTTAATCTTTTGGCTTATTATCTGCTGCTTTACTTTTGTACAAATTTCAAAGCTTGGCCTTGGCAGTTGTCGGAAAAAACTTAATCACAAAGTCACTAATTTCTTGGCAACCCACCTGAAATTCTCATATCCGTCTCTTCAGTGTGAAGGCTTTCAGCAGCCAAAGAGTACAGCCTTCTGTATACAAAAGCAAGCATTAGTCCTGAGTCATGGCCATGGAAAATCCAATAAGTACAGAGAACATTTTTTCCTCTGCGTCAATATTTTTTCATAAATAAACTCTAAGATAACTTTGTATCATCAGTTGACCCTAATGGATGTCTATCTGTGAGCAGGTAGTTGGGCAGGTGATTTACTTAGTCTTTATGAAAAGGCGTAGATCAGTATATAGTAAGTATTTCAATTTATGTGTTTTTGTTGTGGAGCACTTGTGTAGTGGGATTATGAGCAAATAGTTAATTTAATGTAAGCTCAGTACTTTTCCTCTTAAGGCCTTGGAAGTTTGTCAGAGATTGTTGGTGAAAAACAATATGAAGACTAAATAACTGATAGAACTGAGATAAAATTGTGGAGAAAGCAGAAAAAAAATCCATAGAGATTTTCTAACTATCATCAGAAAGATTGAATAGGTCTATGGTAAGAGATGGTCATTCACCTAAACTGATGAGTATCAAAGAAGCAACCAAATGGTCGGTTACTCTGAAGGACTGTTTCAACAGACTGGGTAGATTTGTTGACGGGTAAACCAAGTACTTGCATTTTAAAGATTTCACCTTTATATAAAATTCATAAGCAAAAATCCGCTGTTGAAAGGCTATAAAAAGACCCAGTTGCAGCTCTCCACAAGCAATGAGGGGCTCATGAAAATCATGTGAAAGAAGGTTCTCTGATCAGAAAAGGCTAAAACGGACCATCATCTAACATCTACAGCTCTTTGTTTGGTGGAAAACCAACATTTTAGCCTACCCTGAACGCGCCATCTGCACTGTGAAACATGGCGGTGTCGGCGCTGTATTATAGGTTTGCTTTTTTAACAGGGACAGACAAGCTGCTCAGAGTAGATGGGGATTTGTATGGAGCTGAACAAAGAGAAATCCTGGGAGAAAACCTGTTAGATGCAGCAAAAAAAAAGAGACTTGACTGGGGTGAGGTTCACCTACCAGCAGGACAGTAATACTAAACATGCAGCTAAAGTCGTGACATTGTTTGTTTCCTGATGCTCTCCAAATTCTTCTGAGGCCTTTGCACATTAGCTTTAGCTTTTTATACATACAGGTCACTCTTTGCTGCTAAACAGGGCTGAATACACATGCACCAATCCATTTTCTTTAAGTTTTTTTGTTGTAAAATATCGACTATGTTCCTTCCACTTTACAACTACATGCTTGTTAATGTTGGTCACTCACATTAGATCCCAATAAAATACTCTAATATATCTGATTGTAATGTAACAATATGGGAAAAAGCCAAAGGTCTCCTTATACGCTTGCAAGGCAATGTACGTTTAGTTAATTATGCAAAGTGCCCCAATTTAGATCAGTGTATAAAGTGGTACAATTATTATTAGGTTATATATACCAAATCTTGGTGCATCCTTTTTGTATTTCAGACAGTATAATGGGAACCAGAACATAGGTGTAAATGGTTCTTAGATTGCATGTCACTGTGCAGCTTTCATTGGCACGTAATAGAAAGAAATGCACTCTGGAAAGCACATTACATGTATTACTGCACAAAAGGGTAATTTACTAAATGTAGCTGTCAGCTGGATTTTTATTACAAGAAAATTACAGTTATAACACACCACCTTTTAAAGTGCATATGTGCTCCCCTCGCTGCTTTTTTTCTCTCAGTGCTCTCTAAATATCAGTAATTTTTTATTTATTTATTTTTTTCCCCAGAGAATGCCTATGAATGTCATAGTTTTTAGCAGCAATAGTTTTTACCTCATTTTTAGCAACCACTTGTACTCCAGCTTGTATAGGTAAAAGAAAAAAAATGCAAACATAATTACTTGATTCTGGGGGGGGAGGGGGAACGTTATCCTGTAATGTTGTTTTGCAGCACTACAGAAGATGTCTGTGTTTCATACATCATCTTTCTTCTCATCTTAGATCAACTAAAACTCACCCAGGTCCTGTAGTTCATCTGAGTGACAGCCCAAAGGACGAAGGCAAGGTGAGTAGGTGGACAACAGAAAATCAGCAACATCTTCTGGTTTCTTTTACTCAAACTCTTGGTGGCTCCTTCCTTCTCCCACTGCTACACTCTTTGTTAAACTTCTCTTAACCCCACATCCCCTGGTATGCCTTTTATTTCGACTTTTGTGTTTGCTCTCTTCTTTTTCCTCTCGTCTTATAACTTATGCTCACAGAAGAATAGAAGTGCAAAGAATGCGTGGCTTTACCTGCTTGAGCAGATTTGTATTTCAATCCTAATTAAGGAGGACTCCAGTGTCATGCGGGGTAGTTTTTACAGAAAGTTTGCAGCATATTAAGTTCTACAATAAACTTAGAATAATTTGGATACAGGCAGACTTAACAAGGTGCGTTTCTGCGTTCAGAAAATGTATCCACATTACAATAACACTGCAGTTAAATCTCTCTCTCTATAATTATATAAATATATACACACATATAGAGATATATTCATGCTGCTTGACCTGATGCACCAGATGGTTAGTCACTGAGAACCATCTGGGAAGATTTTGCTGTGAACTGCTTAGAAAAGAGCAGGCATGTCCAAGAAAACACTGGGCAGGTGATTGGATTTAGAGAGAAAACATGTTTTCTACCAAGAAAAGCAGCCTGGCTGTTCTTTCCTCCTCCATTCAAGATGCATAGCTGTGATTTATCTGACACTCACCTCCGTAGGGGCCGGGCGTCTGAGCTGGACTCCAAGAAATTAAACTTTTATAATAAATATGCAATTTAGGTTCAAAACAAAATTTAAACATGTTATTTGTTGTGCTGTGTTAATATGTGATTGCTTTATTTTTTTTTCATTTTGAATGATAGCTTGAGCTTCTTATTTACTCCATAACAATAGGTGTTGGATTAAAGTCTTGCCCAGATGCAATCTTTCAATAAAATCCTACAACCAAAGAAGTACTTAAAGATAAATTCTAAATTCTTAATTTGGTCAAGTATTGTGCTCAGAAATGTAATTTTACATTCCACAAAGGTGTTTCTTAGTTATTCATGGCCCAATGGGAAACTATGCGATAAAATAAGTTTCGCAGTATCAGGTTATTTGCTCAATAACTTAAAGCATAAATATGTAAAATGATCTAAATCCTTTTATTTACAATAGAAAATCAACATCTATTCCTGCTTTTTTCTATTTTTCTTCATTGCATCAGATAACAGCAGTCATTTATGGTTACCTCTCCTGTAGAATTGGTCTACCATGTAAATATTCTTATTCTTCTATTTCATATAAAAATATAATTTTTGTCTCTTTATGGTTCCCACTGTTTCTTTGCTCTCTGGTTTGCAGAATTCGTCCACTTGCTATTGGTATGCTAAAGCAGCACTTCAGATTTTACAGTGAACATCTGTTACAAAAAGTAAAACCTTTAAAATGACCTTCTGTTTTTGTTTAGTCACCTTAAATTGAATGCATTTCTTGTGACTGAGATAGATTTACCTCTATTAGATGTCCGTAGATAATTAATTTTATTATTTGAATTGCTTCTCAAGTACATGAAACAGCTCATTCACCTGCATTCACTTACTGTATGTATCTGTCCCCATCAAGATTAGAATAACAATTAATACACGTCATAGGCAGCATTGCTGTACTTGTAAAAATAAAGACCTCAATTTGTTTTAGCCACAGCAATGCTTCTCTGTTGCTGTCTTAGAAATGTTCTGTCAGATTTCAGACAGGAGACACCGGCAGTCTGAGGATGAAAGCAGACAATCATAAACACCATGAATACACTCGGATACAGTCACACCCTGCTGTCCTTGGGTTCTTTATATAGAAACACTTGGGTTGTAGCAGGCTCATCCTCATTTATTAGTCAGGTTTATCTGATAAGTAGTTGGCTTGTCTGCTCAGGTAGACAACTGGAAGTCTGCAGCTTTACAGACATGCCTCTAGGTTGCAAACTTTAGTTTCAGAACTGCTCTACCTTTACAGGAGTGATGGAGTTGCATGGCTGTGCAGGTGAATTTATGCTCCTTATAAGCAAGAGAAAAGCCTAGGATCTCTCTTTCAACCAAGTGAATGGAATCTCGTTAGAGAACTTTAAACTATAGGCATGGTTTGATGGAAATTGTAACAATTTTGAAACTAACTTCAACACTTTGGTGTGCTATCATACCAGTAACAGCCTCTGTCTGTTCTTGAATATAGATGTCTGAAAATGACAAGTCTGACTCAAAAAAAAATACTTTGCTTTGTGGAGAGCAAGTTTCTTTCTGGCACACTGATTTGATTCTAATGCTTTTTTCCTATAATGAGTTTTCAGCTGATGAAATCTCCACTAAGCGGAAAGAAAATTACTGCATAGTCAGTTCAGTTTTCCCTCTTGCTGTAGTGTTATCCTCTTTTCAAAATGACAGCAGCTGGCTTTGAGTTTCTATTCTGTTTTTGTTTTCTTTTTCAAATTAAAATTTTTTGTACTCCCATCTCCTGTGTAGATGGGATATTTCCTGTGCGGTTCAGCTACAGTAATTTCCTGTGTTTGCTTAAAACAACACATTTTCCATGTTAGTCAATTGTCCTACAGCTGTCATCTGTTTGTCCTTACCTTTGCTGTGTATATATGCTCACTGCGCGTCAGACACACTTGCTAAATCATCTACAAACAGTTGAAAGAATTGTGTGCTTTCTTGTCATCGGGTTCTGTTTTATTTATTTTTTCTTTTGGTGTCAGTTTGCCCTTGGAAATTTGCACCCAGTTTATTTGGCTGTTTTCTAAAATGTGGACTTCCCAGACATTATGAGTTCTGTCTGCCTACTTGGACCGCCGTGGCGTTTGTTGCGACGGTTTCTTTGAATTTTCAGACGGTCTCAATTACGTCAACAACCTGCCTCCAATCTCAAAGTCAAACTGATATAAACACGGTAAACAGCCATTCATCATGCTAAATTAGGTCTGCTGTCAAACATCACATACCTCTGAGAACATATTGTGCAGTATTGATTCTCTATCTGCATATTGACAGCGTGTCTTCATTCTCCTTTACTTTTCGATGTTGCTAATGTAAAACGTCAAGGTTGCAGGATGTTTCTTAAGGGCAGCTTTTATTCCCAGCTTCACACGCCCATTTCCATATTTGAGATGTCACACTGTGTGTCTGCTCAGCAGGAGAGCCATTTCCGCCCGCTGTCTGTGCTCCTCCCAGCGCCGCTGATCTCCTTCTCCTGTCATCTGTGATCAGACGGCATCAACCTGCTCTTACCTTTTGTATAGTGCGTGCAGAATTTTGTACCCATACATGTGGAGAAGAAATTAGGTGTTGTTTCAGGTCCAAAAGGTCCTACCTTCCTTTGAAGTAGTTTTACATGTGATATATATTACAGTATAAATTTGACAATATCTGTGATTAAAAAAAACTGTACAGTCATTGGGATTCCTTTATTTCCATCAAAAAACAACAAACAACATGGTGGAGTTAACAGTGTGATGCCTCATTTCTAGGGTCAGTGCGGCTCGGTACACTATTTTACAATCTGGCGTATTCAGGGGAGCGTTTCCACCACCAGTTGGACTTTCACTGGTCAGCAGGAGATCCAGTGATCTCCTGGATTTATCTTATCTTTGGTGGATTAGACGGAAGAACATTTCATCTTATCCACATAATATCTGAAAGTTTTTAGACCTCTTGCATTATTTTATCCCAAATAAAACCACTTCAATCTTTAATTAATTTGTCTTAGAGGTTTGGAGATGCTGACTTCAGAACCACAACCTTTTGGGTTCTCAGAATGACAAAAAGGTTCAGAATCTCTCCTTTTTTCATCTGAGAAATACTAGGATGGATTAGGCTCATCAGAAACGGAGCATAAGATCAACCTTCAAAGCTGTGGGTGTTCAACAAGTAAACCTTTTAGAACCGCTGCTTTCCACCATATCTTAGTAATACATGACTTGAATGTTTTAAAGATGATTAGTAAAATTTGCATGCAGATGATGCTATGATATATCTAAATGTGAGACTACAGTGGGCTGCAGCAGTCTTGAACAAACAAATGGCTGATATCTTACAGGGAACCATTTTGTGTCCAAGTTGCACCTGAAGTGCTATTTTATGCATCATTATCTTTCTTTTAACTCTTACTTTATCACTAGTTTTACATAAAGGTGTTTATACAGGTAGTTTTAAAAGTTAACATTTTAAAAGTATAACCAATGACTGTCTCTAATTAAAATTTGACCAGAGGACTTAATGTTTTATGTTCCATCTTTAATTAGAAAAATCTACTCTGACTCTCCAGAATTGTTCAGAACCTTCAAGGTCTTTGGAATTAAAGTTAAATCAGCATCTTGATAAACTTAATGTCTCATATTTAAAATATGCTTCATAGAACATATCAAAGGTGGCAAATATTAAAGTCTTTGCATAAATTTTAGTAATCTGGTACCACCATGTAAACCTACATCAAATTAAAGTAATGCTACTTTATTTTTCAATTGTATGAAAACAGTTGTTAAATTCTTGATGCTTAGGTTAACCAATTTCTTTCTAACATTTAAAGTGAGTGGTTTTATTCAGTCTCATCCAGTCATTTAAAACAATTCTCTAAAATAAAAAAAGGACTTTAACTTATAAGCTATACTATCGTTTTTTTAATGGTTTTATTTTTTTAATTTATCTCACTGTTGGAAAAGTTTTAATTAGTTATTCTTAACTTCATGTTTTTATGGTGATTGAATATAGCACGATGCAGAGATCCAGTTCTTTTAGCCTTTCTCTAAAGGAGAAAGGCGAGAGAACATGATGTTAAAGTAAGGCACAAGTGTATCAATCTTAATAAGTAAGATAATAAGAGTCTGTCTACTGGTTTAAACTTTCCCATCTCAAGGCACAACTGGAATTGTATTGAGTAATAAAACAAAAAAGCAGATATCTGAGCAATTAGAGCAAAAACGTTTTGACCTTTAGTTTTTTTTTTTTTACTTCAGTGTTGAGCTTCTATGATTGGACTCTGACATTTGTAAAGATTTAGTACTACATTCATGTAATTCCCTCTTCTTGTAGTACATTAAACTCGAAGGCTACTTTTTAACTTAAACTGAATATATTGTGAAAGAGGCTTTTATGTAAAATTTTTGAGCAGAACTGAAATTGGGGTTGCACTCATGTTTTTAAAATGTATAAATCATCTGAAATAGTTCTCTAATATTTAAACAGCAAATGTGTTTCCATTATCCTGTCAATTTGATTGTAAAGATGTCCTTTTAAGTTTTAAACATGCGTATCTTCACAGTTGACGAATGTGTAAAAAAAGGCCTAAAAGAAAGAAGCTGAGGACAAAGCAGCTGAAAATATGGGAGAAAGTTGTGAAGAGTGATGGCCATGGGTGCATGTGCAAAATTGAACTTGGGCATCAGTGCATAACACAATGGCCACCCGAGAATGAAGAAGGAATAGAGAAGTCTCTAGCTCAAATGTGAGCTCGTCAAACCACGATTTATATGGTTATTTGTGCAATAAGCAGGAGAACGACATCAGTAGGAATTCTGTCTGAGAACAGTAGCCTTGAGACTAACGGGGAATTAAAAGCATGCTGTGGTGAGCTCTGCCTACTTGTTTTTTTAATTTGTGAGATAAACTTGAATTCACAAAAGACAGCTTAATTCAGCATTCAGACAACATTCTGCTCTGGTTCTAAAGAAAATAGTTTCTCTGATTTGCACTGTTAGCGATGCGTTTTCTCTGAACAAGTGTGTCAACAGAATACTTGCGTCAATGAGCCAGGCAGTGGTTGCTGAAAACATGCTAACAATTTATGGAAGCTGCTTAACGGCTCATTTTTGTATGTCATTTTTTAATGTTTTATTGGTTCAACTGCAATGAAGTTGAAAACCTTTCTTAATTTCAAAGCACAAAGTGTTTTGAATTGAAAACAATGTTTATGACTGGTGAGGAAATGCTCACAATCTTCATTTTTACAAATGTGTGTATAAAACAAACTTTTGTGTGTTGTGTTACCAGTTGTATCTTTATTTGGCTCATTCCTATTACAAAGTTCTTTCTTGCTAAACAAAATGGTCCAGTTTCCACTTTGAATAATAATTTAACATGTATAAACTTGACACATGGTGGTGAAGGTTCATTTTTTTATAATGGCTTGTCTCCACGGTCTCTCGGTGTATCATAGCAGCTCTATTTAAAATGACTTATCTACTTTAAACAGCTGAAACGTTGATCGAGATGTGTTGATCGAGATCAACACATCTCGATGTTATAGGTTTTCTAGTTTAAAAAAAAAAGATGAAATATGCCCTTTAAAGTTTTATGATTTTGTATTTCACTTCTTGTCACTCCTCTCTGCAGCTCCTTGTAGGATTTGAGGGAGGAACCATTGTGCAGTGGGACCTCCGGGCCAAGAAGGCCGACTTCAGAATCTACTATGATGAGGTTTGTTCCATTCCTTGCTTTAATACACTGATAGAAACTGCACTTATGTGACATTTTATTTCTAAAGAAATTAAAACAAAAACATGAAAGGCAACTTCTTAAAAGAATGTCAGAATTTATTAGCTACATTTTGTGGGTATTGTTTTCTTTAGAAGTAAAATAAAAAATACCCACCTTAATTAACAATGCAACTAGTTGTTAAAACTTAATTTGTCGAAATAAACTAGTTTCAAAAGAAAAGTGCCATTTCCTTTTATTGACATTTTACTCAGAAAGACAGTGGCTATTGATAAAAAAAGCCTCTAGTCATCATGTCTTCTTCTTATTAAGTGAAACAATTTAAGCTTTTTGCCTGCCAATACTTTTAAAGTCAACAAAGTGCAGCACAATTAAGATGTCTGAGCAGCATCAAATGGTATTGGCTTCAACAAGTCTGTCAGCATCCAATTACCGTTTCTTCAAAGAGTTGTAATTGGAAGGATTGGAGCCTGCAAATGCTCCTGCCATTGAAGTTGTCCTTTTAAAGCTTACACAGTCCTTTCAGCTGTCATAGGTGAAGACCCAGAGAGTAGTGAAGGATATAAGCATTTACTTTCTTTATGGTGTGTAATTGTCTCAACTTGTTTGCCATGTTGATGTTAGTCTGAAGAGACTTTCCGGCAAAACGCAAATACTTTCACGTAAAAATGGAACAGAACTGTCATCACAACGTAACAGACATTTCAGCAAGCTCAGATTGTAATACAGATATTAAAATTATCTTAAAGGTTAAAGATATGCTAGAGTTGATACAGGTCAGCCAAAGTGGTACATGTATAATCTGCTGTCTTCTAAAGAATGTAAAAACACTGATTTTCAAAGAAACTGGGGTTTGTTTACAATTTAAGCTAAGCATTTAAATTGTTATTGAATCAAACAAATATGTTTGTTGTTTGTGTTGTCCTACCAAATTTTACTTGAATCTTTTTTTTTTTTTTTCATTTCTATTCTAAAGCAAGGCATCCTTAGAGCCATATTCCCCCTTAGTATTGTCACTTTGTGCACTTATCTTCCACTTATGCTGCCACTCTTACCTCCTCTTTCATTAAGAGAGCTTTCTGTGGCTCATCGTCAATGTAGCATAAAAGTTGTGTCTCACACCTACTGAGTTAAAAATGAATTTTTAAAAAATTGGACTACTAAAGAGTAAACAGCTCAATTGTCCTTAGGGTTCACCCAGAACAATTTGTGAGGAGGGCAATTGCAGGAATGCTGTAAGCTCCTAAATAAAGCACGGTGACACTAAGTGTGATTTAACAAGAAATGGATAAAGCAGACTATTTGCAGACCACATATATATATATATCTATGTCTGTCTTTAGGGAAGTGTGAAAAGAAAGACTTGATTTTATGGAAGTAAAATATTATTTTGCTCTGTCTGATTGGTACAGGCTATCCATTCAGTCAGTTGGCATCATGAAGGGAAGCAGTTTATGTGCAGCCACTCGGACGGCAGCCTGACGCTATGGAACCTCAGAAACACTACCAAGCCATTCCAGGTCACCTTTCCTCACGGTGAGATATCCACTCATTCCACTTCTCAAATTCCAGAAAAAAACATGCAGCTCGCCTGTTGCCTGTGTGCCTTGCATTGCAAAGGTGTTTATATCCCCTGACGTTTTTACCATTTCACTATGAGCTGCAATGTAGTTTTGAGGATTACACAAAGCAGTGCATTATTTTGAAGTGGAAGGAAAAATGATGCATGGTTTTCTAAAATCTTTACAAATAAAAACCAGAAATGTGTGATGTGCCTGTTCATGAAATGTCCACAGTACCTTTAATAAATTACATGCTGCCAGTTTGCTTCTCAGATCAACCACTTGGTGAATGTAGTATTGCTGTAGGTGATTTAATCTCTGTATTAATATAGTTGTTCTGTGAAGACCTGAAACGTTTAGAGTACACCTGCAAATCTACAGAGATGTGGCCATCCACTTAAACTAATAGAGTGGGCAAGGAAAGCATTAATCAGAGGAGCAGCCAAGAGGCCTGTGGTATCTCTGGAGAAACTGCAGAGATTCACAGCTCAGGTGGGAGAATTTGTTTACAGAGTAACTATTAGTCATATACTCAAGTATCTGGTCCCTGTGGAAGAGTGGCAAGAAGAATAAGCCATGTTTGGAAGGAATGCACAAAAAGTTGTGTTTGCAGCTTGGCACAAGTCAGTAGGAGGACATGTCAGGCTTGTTAAAGAAGGTAGAGATGGAGGTAGAATCCTATTGTGAAACATGGCAGTGGCAGCAACATACTGTGAGATTGCTTTTCTCTAGCAGGGATGGGGAAGCTTGTGAGAGCAGTTGGGGAAAATGGATGGAGCTAAATACAGAGCAATACTGGAAGGATGTAAATTAAAGGGCACAAAACACTCGAGATTAAGGAATAGGGTAACTTTTAAACAGTATGTGAATGGATGGGGGTTGGTGTTGATGAGATGCCAGATTGTTTTTGTTAGATATTTGGAAAACTGTGTTTCCCTTTCCTTCTGTTTTACAATTATTTGCTACTTTTTGTTAGTGTAGAAACAGAAATACAATCAAAAACAGTGTATAAGTTTGTAAAAAACTGTATATTGCAAAAGCAACAAATGTATATAGCTTTAAACCTACAAAGCTCTTTGTAAACGAAAACCTTTCATTGCACTGAGGGACCTGAAAGATGCAGATTCAAAAATATTTAACATATTTGTGAACACGTGAAAAACTGCCGTATACACATCAACAAATTGATTTTTATGAAAGTAAGATTAGAATATTATGATCATATGAATTCATGATTAGAATAGTAACCAAATCCTATTTTCTTTTTTATGCTGTTTGTGATGAACATTTTAACAATGTGTGTGTTTGTGTGTTTAAGCATGCGAGTGAAAGAATGAAATTAGCCGTAAACTCACTCTAATTGAACCAGACTAATTTTCGCTTCCTCAAAGAAAGAAAGAAAACCTTCAGAATCAGATCGCTGTGAAATCTTAAGCAGTGGTTCAGCTGAGTGATTTCCATATTACGCTTGAAAGATTTCAAATGTATTCTCTTGCTTTAAATTTTCCTTTCCTGGCTTTGTTTACTGCCGGGACATCTTGACCTTGTCAGATTTCCCTTCCCTCACCGAGAGCTGTGAGATAACAGAAAGTTGAAGCAGAAAAGAAAGATGAGAAGGTGAGAAGGTAAACATCAGAAGGATGTTTATATGGTATATTGTAGGTCTGACCTGAAAGATCTCAGTAGGTAAGAACATTGTCAATGATTTGAAAGCCAGACAGGCAGATCTGGAGAGTCCTGAGACCCAAGATTTTGAATGACAAGACAGCTAGAACTCAACAACCTGGACTCGAAGGGTATCTGGAGAGGCTGGAGAAAATTGAGGGGAATCACGCTGTGGGTGGAGTTATGGTACACTGCAGGTGACTGTCATTGCTAGGCAATGCAGAAGACCAAAACTGTGGGTGGAACTGCAGAAAAGACACTCAGACAAGTGATTCAGTCCAACTGACTACAGCAAAAGGCCCAATGAAAGAAAGCAAAAGCAAAACCCAGAGAGAGCAATGCTACACAGAAACTAAAGCTCTCCGCCTGGAGCCTTCCTTTCTTTCTGAAGGTTTGCTCCGGGACTGGTTCCAGCTGAGGGCCAGCAGACTGTGGGCTCCCTGACAGGGAACTGGTGAGCAGAGGGGTGGCCAACTGGAAGTCAGCATTCAAGTCTTAATTCAAGATGTGGTGTTGATGCTGAATAAACAGACTCTCACAGTTTACAAAGAAAAGGGCACACTTTGCCTTTAAAGAGCACTCTGTGTATTTTACTCTCACAGGCTTGAGCTTATATTGTTGTATGCTCTGGGACTGGTGGTATAAAAGAGAAGATGGTCTCATTGCTGCCTTAATTATGTTACACAGTCTGGTAAGAATTTGTCTTGACATGTTACTGATTAGTTTTGAGTTGATTTTAAGAATTTAAATTAAAACTGATTAAAAACTAGATGCACAATTCTAATACAAGATATGTTTGGCAAAATAATTTCTCAGGTTGCCTTCTGGTTATGCTTTATTTACAGTCTTTTGTTACAGTTGTGGTCAAAAGTGTACATACACTTGTAAAAAATCATCATGTTATGGCTGTCTTGAGTTTCCAATAAGTTC